AGCCTTCGACCGTTGGTGTCTTCGACGCATCTCAAGAGTCTCCTGGCGGGATCGACTTCCCAATGTTGAGCTACATATCAAGTTTTTCCAACTACCAAGTCTAGCGTCATACATCCGGCATCACCGATTACAATGGCTTGGCCATGTCCCGCGTAAGGCATAGGCGGACCTCTGTAGAATATTCGTGAATCCCTCTCGCAGTTCGAAATGGAGATACCGACGCGACGGTTAACTGAAGATGTGGCGCAAAACGGTCAAGTCAGATGTCGAACGCATGGGCATCGTAACCGTTTACGGCTTGCAACACTGAAGAAAAAAGCACTGCCGCCAATACAAGCGAACATGCGAGTTCCAGGAAGAAATTGAGAAGGAGACGACTCGACCTTTGACTATGTCTCTGATGACGAATCTGCGACGGATCTCGAAACGTCAGGCGAATAGAATTATTGTCCCAGCGATCAAGTCATCATCATCATCTCCTTCTTCTCAAAAAGCACTGCGTTGGCATTTGCGAGGAGTTTGCTTCTGACTGCTGCCGAGGGGCCGCCCCTATCGGTGACCTCCCTGAAGCGGATTCATCCAATAACAGGAGCTAATCGGGTCAAGTAGCAGTACATGCTAAGTGACGTTGTTTTCATCAGCTGGTAAATTTTCCCTGCTTGTTGACTCTTCTTTTTCCGTCCTCCATTATATTATCTCCGATACCCACATTTGTTTTTTTCATTTAGACCCGTAACGGCGCCTCCTTCTGCCAGGCTCTGGTACTCCTGCTCCTACGTCTACTCACACCCCCCACCATCAGCCTTTCAGCGGCCGATGCAACAATGCCCTCTCGCGCGCCCACCTCTGGTTTCTATCCGAACCTCATCCAGTCACCTCTGCGAGCCTCCCCTGCCTCCACATCCTCCGTATCACTTAGGCAGGCTGAACTTGTCGCCTCCTACTCGGACCTCCTCACCCAGGGCTTGCGACTGCCTTCTGTTGAGAAGTTGACCCGTTGGCTATCTCAGGATGAAGCCTGCGAGGTGCGTAGACATTCTTTAAGTCGTAATAATTGATAGTACTCACAAAAAATATATTTGTGACTCTCTTCTAACCGTGACCATTGCTATAATAGTTAGAAGGAGTGTACTGTCACGGGGTTTTGAGCGTTTACCTCGGTTGAAACTAACCCTGCTGTCTAGCAGTGGACTACTATCTTATCCGACACGAATGGTGAAGACCTGTGGATGAGACTTACTTGCATATATTAAGGCTGCGGTCATGACTGATCTAGCCGGCCTCGACGATATTCCATACGGTGTTTCTCCACGCACGACGATCCGTGGCCGCAGACCTAGACAGTCCGAGCCATTCTCTTCGCCAGTGCCGGAGACTGAATATGGAAGGTCCAAGAGAGACTTACTTGTTTCAGCCGTTAATTTTATTATTCAGTGTTCATTGCCGTATTTCCGTAGCTGACATGAAGATTGGTCCTTCAAGTGCTAATTGCCACGAGTTGGTAAAGCCACTAATAAAAGAATTACAGTGGAGCCTCGGGTGACCAGCAGCCCCATCTACAAGCATTTCAGGTAACGAGCTAGCCACTAGCAAAGAAGTCGTTTCGCTTAGCGAGCTTCCGTTAGGTTAACGAACTGTAAGTGCGTATGGATGCTTATGTCCGCTGTTGAGTCTTGCTCCCAGGGCGTGGGTCCTCGGTCGCCAGCAGCCAATCAATGAACTGATGCAGTTTGATTGATTACTTTTCGCAAGACGAGTGTTTCACATGACGAGCTCTGTGCCGGAACGGATTAAACTCGTTAGCCGAGGATCCACTGTACTCCCCTCATAGTAAGCGACCGTAATTCGTCCAGCTCCAGCCATTGTCGAGATGCGCAAAAACTTAGTGCGTTGCTCTACTATAGGTCTCAAAATGTTATTTAGTTTGAGCACTGCTGATAGAAGCGAACAAGGGAGTTGCAGGAAACAGTTTAGGATGGGAAAATGCGATCATGGGAACAGGACGTTTACTGGTCTAACGTTTCGGATTCTCGCCTGGAGCCTGTGATCAGAGACAGTCACAGATAAGGGTAATAGGGGCACAAAGTACGCCGTACTTATGGTTGGTAGTATTTACGCGTAGTTAGTAGCAGCCGGATACGGTAGTTCTCGCAACCAATGCTGGGCGGTCGTGCTTGATGCGATGTGGGCTTGGCTGTCCGCATCGGAGTCGTTAATTGCCGCGATTTCTTCACCCGCGTTGGATTTTGGGGTGGTAATTACGCAGCAGTTTGCCTCGCTGTCATTAGTCGCTCCCACCCTCCCGTGCTGTGATATATACCCCTGCTCAAGCACAGTTTCAGTAGAGAATACGAGAACGGCAGGTCATTGTTCACGCATAAAGGAGAATGTTCGCTTTCCAGGTATTTGTGAAGAAGAAGAAGAAGAAAAGTCGAACGCCGGATTGATTTGTTTATTGTTCTGAGCTTTCGAACCCGTGCAGTAGACCCTCGTCAGAGAAAAGGAAACAGCAACAAAATAATGGCTGGTTATAACGTGTGTACAAAACAGTTAAGATTTGAACGCGTAGAAATCGATAACTGTCTGGCGTGGGCGCCGATTGGCCATGTGAGCAACGATAATGGGGCGATTATAGAGGATTCGGGCCCAATTCGACATATCGGTTGACTGAATACCCGTCCGTGGACCAGGCTTCAATCAATTCCCTGTTCGTCTTGTTTCCGGCGTGGGCGAGTACCTTGACGGCCGTGAAGTTGAACTCATGGTCTGTTTCATAAGTGTGAGCTGCAACTTGTGATAATTCGTCGCCTCGTCGCACGGCCAACTTGTGTTTATGTATGCGTGCATGTATCCGAGCATGCGTTCAGTTTGGCCCGTCTAATTACAAAGACAGCTTAGGCATGGGATGCGATACACTACTCCAGATTGTTCATTCGGCGTAAG